GTTTGGGGAATCTAGCAAGTATTGATATATTACTGTGGTTTAAGCCGTTTGGCTGTAATTCATGTTCAAAGTTGAAAAATGCTCGAAAAAGCAGTGTTTTCACATTTCATTGATTTTCTCGAAAACTGTAATACATAGAATGAATCCAAAAGATGCATATGAAAGCTGAATGTTTGGGGAATCCAGTTATGTATACATACATTCCTGTGCTCTTATCCATATTGCTGTAATACGAGTTCCTTTTATGAAATGGTGGGTGGAGGGGAGGCGCCAAATGATTACATACTTTTGAGGGAGGCGCAGTAACATCAAGTTTGGAAACCACTGGCATAAACAATATTTCTAATTACATAACGTTTTCTTGAGTCTTACTTCATTTGTTTTCATTGTTGTTTAGTGAAATTATTCCTTTTTTTTCATTTTAAACATATTAATTATATTTTTTTCTGTAATAATATAAAAAAAAAACATCGAATTTCTTCAATTCAAAGTTGGACGCGGGTGGTCCAGCCCTTACATTCGTATCCGTAAATTTACATTCTTTAATGAGACTATTGATTCGTTTTGCAAAACTCTCCACCCCAAAAAGAAAAAAAAATAAGGGTTTCTCGACGTCTTTTCTTCCTACACAGCGCTCGGACCACTGCAGCTGTTTTTTTTTACTTTACTTTTCTTTTCTTTCATTCTTTTTGCTCGAAATATTATTAAAACTTGTATTATTATTTTTTTGTTCTTTCTCTTCTCTTGCTCCACGTCTACTGCTGCTGTGGAGGTCCGATCGATTGGTTTGGTTTCAGCTCGACTCAGTTCCGTTTGGTTTGGTTTCGCATGCTTTTGCTTGCTTGCATGCTTACTTGATACTTTCGTTTCAATAAGTCGTAGCTATTCAAATAGTCCCCTCCTGGCAGAAGGCAGAACTCTTGCCCGCTTCAAGACTTTCGCAAATGTCCTCAAGTGTTTCAATTCCTATTGAAGTTATATGGAAGTTTTGTCGTTCGTCATCCTCCCCTCTTCTCAACGTCTCTTCCTCATTTCCTTTCTCTCTTCCAATATGTTTCACCAGATGACGAACGAACGAAACTAGAAAAAAAAAATAATGTAATGGGACCGAACTCTGTTTGTACAGCTCACAAATTGCTAATTTCTTCGATCTACTTTCCTTTTAATACTTTTCTTACGAACCTTCGAAATTTCACTCTCAACGACTATTATTAACAACACTATTGACTCATTGCTTGTACTTATTAAACATGTTT